TACAGAAATCATGATGTCGCATTAGGGGTGCAAGCTCATGCAAGCACAACTTCAGCTTCTGTGTCTCATGTTTTAATTGTTGCTGCCTTGACTTTATTTTGTTGCTTATAGAAGAATACGAGTTCAGAAGGAAGAAATACATTTCTCAGCTGTAAGAGTTCTCTCTCCCTCTCTTTGCAAAGTTCAGCCCTTCTCCCACGCTGATCCATGCACTGCAGTGAGACCCAGATACATGCAAATGCAGAGAGGCTTTTTGTAACTGAACTAAATTCACATAGCACTGTTTGTGCAGGTTCAAAGCAGGAGGTGTTAAGTGATACAAAATAATAGAAAGGAAATGCAGACAAGAGTCAGTGTAAAAAGAGTGGTGTTATTAGGAACCAGTAGGGAAGAGAAGCTAAAAGGCAAACAAAAGGTCTAAAGACCTAGTGGGATTATTCTTTATTTATAGGATGTCTTTGAAGAAGACCTTCAATACCTGAAGGGAACCTACACCCAGGAGGGGAGTAAACTCTTCAGAAGGGCTGACAACAGCAGGACTAGGGGAAATGGATCCAAGTTGAAGGAGGAAAGATTTAGGTTGGATGTTAGGGGGAAGTTCTTCACAAGGAGAGTAGTTAGGCCCTGGAACGGGCTGCCCAGGGAGGTTGTGGATGCCCCGTCCTTGGACGTGTTCAAGGCCAGGTTGGACGGGGTCCTGGGCAACCTGATCTGAATGTGTACGTTTGGTGGCCCTGCTAGGCAGAGGGGTTGGAACTACATGATCCTTGAGGTCCCTTCCAACCCGGGTGATTCTGTGATTCTGTGATTCTGTGATTCTGTGATTCTGTGATTCTGTGAAGAGGACTCTGGGCTGCCTAATCACTGCTACTAGCTATAAGCAGTGCTTGACAAATGAAGAGGAATAAACAGAGTTTCTAGGAAAGAGATCCAGAAATATACTTTTAAATGTAGCTGTAATTCTTTCAATAAGGTATACTCAAGGTAAACATCTGATTGCTCTAAGAGAGTGCTTTGTTCTGGCTTCTGAATGCCAAGATGCCCCAAATGGAGGAGCATGCAAGAGGAACCACACCCCGTGTGCCATGGTGCTGTTAGGGGTCACTTCTCCAGGTGCCTGGAGTGACCACATGGAACATGGTCCAGTTTGAGACCCAGAGCCCCTGGGTGCACTTCTCATTTGTATGCCTTCTCCACCAAGGCAACACAGGGCACCAAGATTCTGACTGAGGATTTGCTTTCCGCTGCTATGGATGTAGTTTAAAACTATTTAAATACCAAATTTCAGAATATCTCATATTGCCACATAGATTAGGCAAGGCAAATGTGATTCTCTTTATGCTGCAATCCCCAGTGCAGACAAAGCTTTCTCAGGTTGAGATCCTGCCACTCACATAATTATTTAGAGAGAGACAGCTCCAGTTCTTCAGCTCAAGTACTTCACGAGGGGAATGAAAACATTAGGAAAAGTTTTTTCTTTGATGTAGAATACACTGCCACTTTTTTTGTTATTAAAATAGGAGCTAACTTTAAATAAATAAAATTTTGCCTGGAGGCTTCTGAAAACTAATGTTGTGTTTTGACAGTGTCACTTTTCTGATTCCTGAAAGCATTACGTGAGTTAACTTAGGACTTCATTATGATTTTTCTTCTATGCTACATACAGTGAATTATTTTTTCAGCTCTGTATCTTGATTTATTTATTTATTTATTTATTTATTTATTATCTCATGCACACATGCACACACAGCCACATCACTGCTCAATTTCTTATCTGACAAGCGCTCCCCAAAGCTGGTTCTTCCCCCTTTTAGAGGACAGGTGGATCAACCCCCTGCAGTGGAAGTGAGAGGGAGTGCAGTGGAGGGGAAGAAGGTACCATTGTTTTGTACTGCAAGAAGAAGTGGATGAAAAGCAGTCAGCTTTGAGTCTTTGAAAAGGAAAATAAACTATGGAAATGAAAGAAGGTCACACAAAAAAACATGTGAAGGGAGAGAATTTTGTTTTAAAAATAACACTGTCACTGTCCGACTTGTATGTAATGTCTCTTTAATTGGACTTACAGTTTTTATATCCTCTGAATTCATGCTTTGCTGTTAAGAATATTGATGCAAGGATGATATAGGACTTACAGCAGAAACAGAGTGTGTTCAAATAACAGCTGATTTCATACCCTAGTCTTTGATAATAATTTATGGTCCTCTTTTAAAAAGGTAAAGATTCTTTTAGGTGTATGCTCAACTAGAAAACTCAAATAATGTGTGCTTAGTGAAAGAAAAAATATTGCTAACAGCACAATGTGTCTTACAGCATAAAGTGCGACCCTAAAATTGCATGTTGCTGAGCATTCTTAATGTGCTGTGAGCAATTTCATTCACTGTATTTCAAACCCTGAGTGCACACTCTAATATGCACATATATCAGGGGTGGCCAAACTTTTTCATGTGTGTCACAAAGTGATTTCAAGACACAAAAAGAGCTGGCTGCAGGCTTCCAACTCCACTCTACAACTATTTGAATGAAAACAAGAATCTTTCATGTTTGCTTTTATTGTTGTTTGGGATGTGTGTATGTTATTTTGAGGGGTTTATTGCAGGAGGTTTTTGCATAATGGAATTATGTCAAAATACTTCTTTATTGAGAAGCTCAGATTTTCGGTTCAGATTCTCTTATTATCAGAAGTCACAGATAGCCTTGGATCTTGGAAACTTTTCTGTTGCTCATTTTGTTGTAATTTATGTCTCTTAAAAGAACCCACATTCTATTTAAAAGATATTTTTTTCTTATTCTTTGAGATGTCTTTTTTCCAATACAGAAAAAAGGCCTTATCTCTGTAATGTGAGTAGAGCCAATTGGTGTGAGCTAAGGAGTGACTTGCTAAAATGCAGTGCTGACACTGAACTTTGCAATGGTTGTAAGTTATTTATTTATGATCTTTTCCTCTCTGTAAAGTAAGAAATGGGTTGTAATGCTGTGAGGGTTTTCTGGTAAGCAGTGCTAGGTGTACAGTAAGGTGTGCTGTAGGCATTGTATGTTAGCAGAAAGGAGAACACGTTGAGTGCTCATTAAGCTCTCAGTTGATAAGGCTGATAAGTCCTTACTTAGCTGTGAGGAACACAGACTTCTTAAAACAGTATACTATGAGAATCTTTACTTGCTTTCTTTTTTTAATTTTTCCTCTTTGTAGAAGACCTCAAAATGAAAGGGAGATGCTCTTGGCTGCACTGAGTAATGGAGAAGTGTGAAGCACAGCACAGCCAGGTGCTGCCTGTGCAGAAGCAGATGAGCTACCCTCCTTTACATATCTGGATTTCTGTGTCCTTGCACTATGCAGCAATAGGTAGCATATGCATACTCTTTGACTTTTGGGGCACATTTTTTTGTTTTCATTTGAAACTTCAAAGAGCAGAAATCTTTGTTTTGGATATTACTGATTTTTTCAAATATTTGCTTTACGGAAAGGGGGAGATTTGGGGGTAGTAGAAAGTACAAAAACAGTGCAGGAGAAGTGAGAAAATTACTTATTCTCTACTAACACTGGATGTTCCCCTTTGGTCTTTAGACAACTCTTCTACCACCATGGGTCTCTTTTCTCCCCTTTCTGTCCTCTCTGTATTCCCATTTCTTCCTTTTGGTGTTCTTTTCTCCTCTTTTTCCCCAGTCTTGATGTGCTGTTCAGTGTATGTCCAGAAAGAGGAAAGTTCCATACAGTATCTTTGTGGCCATTTCTAAGGACTGTAACATCTGCGCCAGGATGAAAAGCACAAGGATAGGACGGCTGACACACAGCGTCACGCTGAGCCCCCCTGGGGACCAGTATATATATATGTATTTATAAATACACACTGCAACCATCAGGGAGCTTCCTGGATCACACTTTTATATAGTTTCTGCACATCTCTCAGCAAGGAGACACGGCAATGAAAGATTATCCACTGCCTTTAAGGAGCCCAAGCATTCTGCTTACATGTTTCAACACACCCACATGGCTGGGAACACCATTCTCATTTTGATCTGAAGTTGAGTGTACACTCCCCAGTCATGTAAGTGCCCTTGACATAGTGCTTGTTGGGATGGAAACCTTTCATGACTCAGTAGCTTGAATAGAGATTACCAAAATTTAACAAAACAGACCTTGTAAATAAACTTAAGATCAACATACAGGAAAAGATAAAAAAAGAGGAAGAAGAAAAAAAAAAGGGGGGGAAAGGAAGATGAGAGAAAAGATAAAGAGAGTAAAGGGGAGAAAAGTAAAGCAGAGAAAAGGAGAGAAAGGAGAAAAGGAGAAGGAAAGGGAAAAGAAAAGGGAAAGGAGAGAAACACAACTCCTTGCAACTTCTTGTCTGTATACTTGTCAAGGTGCAGCACACAGCTCCAGGCTGCTCGGGCAGCACACTGGAGCCCAGCACAGCCTGTCAGATGGCTCCCAGGCTAGGCGAAACGCGCTGCTTCCCTAGGAGCGCTGCGCGGCCGGCAGCCTACCCCGATCAACCCCAAGCCAAGACGGCTGCTGCAGGCGGCCGAGCAGCGCGCTGCACAACGCGGGCGAGTTACCCGCCTCCTTTCCGCCCATCCCCTCTCGGCGGCCGCGCAAGATGTGTCGGGCAATGCTGCCCCCTGCTGGCAGCGAGGCGCAGGGCTGCTTCCTTGCCTCCAGGGCGGAGATGGAAGTGAGGCCGCGAAGCGGGACGTCGCCACCGGCCTCGTTGGCTGTGCGAACGCTCTTTGAGCACGGCAGAGGAATGAACCCTATGAGCGCAGGGGTCAACCTCGAAGTTTCTGCATTTTGCTTTCCTGATGCTGCGCTGAGCATCGCGATCCACACGAAGTGGAATGTGTACTGAACGGTCTTTACCTCTTTTTCCAAATTGCAAGCATTTTTGTGTGTGTGTTAATTTTGTATTACAGATTGCATCTTTGTGGGTTTTGTTACCTTTTGTGACCTAGAGACAGAAATACAAGAATTACATCTGTAGCTTATATAGAGGTCCAAGTACAACGTAAATAACCGTTAGGGCAGTTTACAGTTAGCAGAAGGGCTGAAGCATTGTCCAAAGAGCTAAAATGCACTAAGAGAGAAGTCTGCTTTGTTTTATTTATTCTTAAACATTCTGCTGGTTTCCTTCCCATGCTGCGCTCTCTTCCATATGCTCCCTACACCCACCAACACACCCACCTACACACACTCACAATTTACCAACATACTTTATGACTTTGCTGAATTAAGATCCACACCACCATTCAAATAAGATAAAATAAACAGCTGTTTTCTTTCTGCAGAATGAGCATATTCTGACTTGGCACTTATGAAGCATCTGAAAGAAGGGGGCTGCCAGAAATGTCTTACACCAACACTGCACTGAAGGCCTAGGTCTGGAGTATGTGCAGCTGTGTGCACTAAGGAGCATTGGGATTTGCAGTAGGAAAATTTCTAGGGGGATCTTGCAGGCATGCAAGCCACGGTAGTGTGTTGTAGGTCACTGAGAAGCCAGAGGAGGTGCCCATGGAATCTCCAGGCTTGAACACATAGTCAAAATAGCATCAACAGGGTACAACAGAAGCTCATCGCAGACATTTAATTCAAGACCTCCCTTTCTGCTGGAGAATTACAGTCCCAAGAAGTGCAAGCAGCAGAGATTGACTAGATTTGCCCTGCCTCTCTTATCTCCTGCATTAAGCTCCTTGATTTGGGAGCTGACAGAATTTTGCAGTGCCCAGCAGACAAACAAATAACCTAGAAAGAGTCTGAAACAGGTTATATTACTGTGAATCCTGTTTTGCCATCCATTTCTGCTGCTTATCAGTTGTAGGCCATTACACCTCATTCTGAAAATCAAAAGGGCTGAAAACAAAAGCAGCATCTCAGATTATCACCTTGATATTTCTCCTTGCTGTATGTATGGTAACTGTTGAGTCACAACCTGAACTGCTGATTGAGCACCTGCAGAAAGAATCCAGTCAGCCTTGGGAGCACAGGTGAAGGCAATTCTCCTGTGCAACTGGAAGGGGTGGAACCTCGTTGCACCTCTCTTAGACCACATTTAAGGGCTGATTGCCTTTGAGGAAGGGTCTCTGGTTGGAGATCCCTCCCTTGTGGAGTCTTTTCTGTGAGCCTAGATCCTCAGAGGTGGGTGAGCACTTCTCTGTTGTAACACAACCTCATCTGTGTTAGTTGCTTTGCTGTTACACTGCTCTATTACCTTTCCACTGCACTGACCTTTTTGATTGTTAACAATGTAACCACTTCATTCTGATTGAGCCTTGTGACACATAGCCACCACAGCTAGAGCAGGAAACGTTCTCCTAAAATGTGCCACTTCAGGGCTCTGGGACAGGGTGCCCTGGGTGCCTTTAGTTCAGACATAGGAATGGTAGCTTGTAAATACTAACTATTGGAAGCAGCCTGTTCCAAGACTGGTGGCAGTAATGGGTGAAATGAAAAAGAAAAAAGCGAAGAGCTCTCAGTAATCCTTTTGTGGGTATTAGGGAGATAATTTTGGCAGCTTTGCAGGTTCAGAGCTCTGCTAAAATGCATTCCCTCAATATTTTAATGAGCTGAGCAATTGACAGTCCTAGCTGAGTACTTCTTTTTGTTGCTGTTGCTAAGCAAAATAAGGGTTAAAAAAAAAAAAAAAAAACAAACACAACTCCCTTTTTCATCATGTAAATCATAAATACAACCAAGCCATTTGATTGATATATGCAGAAATTCATTCCACTTTCATGCCAGATCATCCTACATAGCTTAGTTCACTTTCTCATATTTTTTATACATATTCAATCTCTACAACATGTCCTGGGACACATCCTGATTTTATTGTCTTCATGTCCTGTACAACCTTCAGGCCCACCCAGTGTCTACTCAGCTTGGACTCTTTATTTGATCTCCAGCACAACCCGTGTTTATATGTACTGGTACAGGTTCTTTGTTCTTCTCTATACGTTTTTCTGTATTGTGCCTTGCCAGCTCATAGAATTTTAGATTTCAGCAATGTTCTAAGAGATGCTGAGAGATTTTTTTTTTTTTCATTCTTTCTCTCTCCTTCTCCAATGACTTCCTGTTTTCCTGCAAAAGCTTCCTGTCTTCAAATTAAAGCAATCCTTTAAACTGCATACTCTGTTATCTATTTATCAAATTTTAAAATTCTTATTCTCTCCTTAACTTTCCCCTTCTCTTCTACACTTTGTTTAGCCATTCATCTGCGTTTTTCTTAGCCAACTGAACTTTCTTTCACCCATGAATATTTTCTAGAAATTCTAGTACATGTATAGTTTGAGGAAGTCTGATATTGTCCTTCCAAACCTGTTCTTGGAGCCTACCATGTGTTAGTAAGAATGTCTTACCTATTATGATGAACAGTTTTGGCCTTAGTGTGTGTAAGGAAATTCCTGGTTTAAATGTTAGCAAGTCTTATCTAGCTGCCAGGTCCAACTTTGCATATTCAGAAAATTTTCCTGGTCCCACTCTTCAATCTGTTATTATATGTTTTTGTTTAGAGAAAACTCTGCTTAGAAGTTGTTAGGATGTTTCCTCCACATCAAAAATGAAACATCTCTCCCTCCTGAGAGATGTTGGTCTCTGATCTTGAACACTAACATTTAACACAGGCACAGTCACCAAGCATTTTGGAGGGCTGCAGTAAAGGGTTATATCATCTTGGTTAGAGTGGAGAGGCAGAGCAAAATAAGTAAGAGCTCCCACTGTCTTTCTAAAGGTCATTGCTAAAGGAGCAGCAAGAGGGGAAAATCTCTACCTTCAGTGAAACCATATAACATAAGACAAAGAACAGTCAGACAAAAGAACAAATGGAGAGAATATTTTAGTCATATTGCATCTTTAGCCTTTGTGAATCTTCCTTTGACTATGAAGATCAGCGCTGCAATTTTGCTATTTCAAGGTTTTAAATATACTGATGTTACTCTAAAAACAACTCCTATTACTTTAAAAACTAGCAAGCAAACAAAGAACCGTGGCATATCATCATTTTTCATGTTCCAATGTAGCTGTACTTCTTGCTCCAGTGTAGGAGTACTCCAAGCACACATGCACTCATCCTCAATGACCATTTCAAAAGCAGTCTATTGAACCTCAAGAATCTTTTGTGTATTTACCACAGTTGCTTTTTTGTTTGCCTGCTAAGCACAAATCTTGAGCAAGCTACAATGCTCTACCTCATTTATTTCTGCCTTTTTTGTCTCATCTCTGGATTCAACACCTTTCAAGTGTATTTAACCACTTGCATAGGAAAAAGGAATTTAATAAATCACATAGGCACACTGTAAAGGATTTTCTTGCATTTCTTTCCTATGTAAACGGTCTGTAGCTTTTTCATGAATCAGGCTCATAGACTCTTTATTTCATACTTCCATCTTCCTTTCTCTGTAGAACTGCAATTTAAATTATCCTGAAGCATTTGAAGACAAGTACAGGTTAGCCTTGCAGATCAGTGACATCTGATTTCAGGAATGGAACAAAATATTTGTAGTTTGTAGGGATCCACAAGGATCATCAAGTTCAACTCCTGTCAACTAGTTCAACTACTAGAAAGACAGAACTGTACTCTGAACTCTAGGTAGGGTTGGCATATAGCCCCAGAAGACATAACAAAATAACTACTTTCTATTATTTACTCAGAGCTTCACACAGTTCTGGAACACTTGTGGATCGCCGGGGATTTTTACTTCCTCTATGTTGTGAACAATGCATAAATCATTAGGGGGCTTGGAATGTTGTTTTAACAAAATTGAAGGGAGCTTCACAAATCACATTTTGGCAAGACTATATGTTGTAACTTAACAGTATTTTTTTTTTTAAGAAATTGTATAGCCTGTAATCCCAGTGGCTGAAGTGGAGACATAAATGAAGCTGTCTTACAAAGAGCAAAGTTGTGATGGGTGAGAGATTTAAATTAGTATACCATACTGTGCAAAAAAATAAAAAATAAAAAGTAAAAAATAAAAACTGTTATTTCTGCATTGCAGCCGACCCACCAGGCCTGATCTGCATGGGTTCTTAAAGACAATGAAGGCTGCCTGACAGCTTGGAGTGAACACATGAGACTTGATCAAAGGTGGAGTAAGAGTTACCAACCAGTGGGGACTTCTGCAGGGATTGTAGCAGCATACATTTTGGAATCAGGTCTTGAAATACAGCCACAGAAACTGCCAGGAACTCAGCATTTAACTGGATGTTGAGTCAATTGTAAAATATTTGGACAAGATTCTTTTCCTTCCCCTTTAGCTCCTTCCAACATCCTCCCTCTGGAAAAACACTTTAATATGTGGAATATAAATTAAGAGGTCTCCAAAAGAGTTGATACGCGTTTGGGAAAATATTGTTGCACAGCGTGACTGGACAGTTTTATTCCATTTGAGACAGATTGAAAAGATGGAAATTACTGTGATACTGGCTGATGGAATAGCTCCAAACTCTTTCAGCTTTGTCTGGAACAGGCATGGCTTAGCTACTGTTGTTTTACATAGTGACTAAATGTAAATACTATAAAATATTTATGAATAATGAATGCCAAACTGATCACATTGTAGATTTTTACTGGAGCATGTATGTCTTGTTATTAACCTGACATTTATAGTATCTTGCCTCTTATCACTTAATCAAGTCATCTGTCCATATACTTCATCTTCTGAAATATGAGAAGTTGGAAACAGTTCTGTGATTTATTTAAAATCTCTGAGACTGTTTCTGCCAGTGTGTGTGCTGATAAATGTTATGTTAACAGGTTCTCTGTTTGTTTAACGTTCTCCTGAGGAGGGTTTGATGTGATTTAAGCAATCTCATATATTTAAAGTACAGCATTAATTTCAAGTCTGCAGTGAGAATGACAGGAAGGGTCACAGGCAGCACAGCCACTAGTATGACAGTGGATAGCTTTTGTATTCCTAACTAGAAGTTTATTCACATCTCAAGCTACTACTGGTCTTGAAAATCTTGATTTAAGAAAACATAGTATAGAAATTAAGTCATGCATTGCAAGACTAACAACAGTATAGGAATTTGTCCAATAACAGTCTAATGTCTGTTGTTCAATTTTTGTCTGTCTGCGTATGGTTTGATATACATCAACTTTCCCTTAGAGGAATCAGAGGGCTTTTTACAACATATAGCTTCAACATGCGCGTGCGCACGCACACACATTCACACACATTCACAGCCTTGCTAGCTGTTTTCTAGAATGTTTTTTCCCTGACAGTGCTACAGAGGTGATAAATCAAGCCTCAATTATGCATATCTGTTTTCTAGAGAGCATTTGGAATTGCTAAAACACTTCAAAGTCTTAGATTATTGCCTTTTTGTCGTGGATATCTGTTATGCTTTGCCTGCATTTGATAGACACCTAATTAAAATGAAAAAAGCTGAATCTATATGATACCATGGTTCATTATTATCACTGTATACAGACTGTAAGTGAAAAACACTACAGTGCAGATCCAACTAGATCAAGTAATTCTGGTAAGTTTTAGCAATTATGGTTGTTCTGGTTTGTTTGTTTTTTAAATCAAATGTTATAGAAGAAAAAATACCATTGAGCACAGGCCCTGGGAAGCTCACACTTTTGCAAATAATGAAATACTTAGTGAGAAGAGCTGATAGAGACTCCTGAGTGCCCAAGTTTTGATTCAGTTGTAACTGCCAAAAGCCATGTGTCTGGCTCCAGGAGGAGAATGCTCATCTTTTATTAGATGAATTATTAGGACTTATTAGATGAAGCTGTCAGCTTTCCTTTGGGTTAAATGATAAGTCTGATAAGCACGCAGTTTTAATCTTGAATCAGCTGGCTCTGAGGTGGCAGAGAAGATGCTGTAGCCCCTCTATTATCTCCCCATAAAAATTACCTTTCATGTAATGTGGTGTCTGGTGTGTATAAATTACCCCTAAAGTATATTAATTCTGAAAGTTGAATCTGCTATTTGTTCATAGGTTCATAGAACCATGGAATGGCCTAGATTGAAAAGGACCTCAAAGATCATCTAATTTCAACTCCCCTGCTGTGGGCAAGGTCACCAACCACACTAGACCAGGCTACTATTCAGATAACTTTCACTTGGTCTCACAGCCCACAGGATGATTGAAGATTTCGAAAGATCAGAGACTGAGCAAGTCTATCACTGGACATATAACTTCCCTTAGACGTTTTTCTTGGCTTTCTACAAAGCATCAACTTACTATAAGGATCAAGATGATTTCTTTCAATAATATCTTGAAGATAGCTGACTACTACCTTCAGTGCTGATCAGCAACAACCTCTACTACCTGAGTAACTATTGACTCATCATTATCATCACTCCCTACAGCCCACAACAGGCTATTAGAGAAAGTTCAAAATGTTTTCCACTTTCAGAATTACTAGAAAAGCTGGAAAGCTTCTCCTAAAGCATTGATTTAGTGACTATCATAGTCACAGGGAGAAGTCCTGATGCCTTTCAGTTAGGAGCCACATCTCTAGGCAGATGATTATTCCCATAACAGAAAGATTTGCCAAAAGAAAAACAGAAAAAGAAAAAATTCTATAATGTTACCCCTGAAGTCATGTTTTTATTAGATGAAGTAAAATGTCCTCCAAGTGCATGAATTCTACCATCTTTCATTACAATTTATTTAGTTAGAATATTATGCATGCCCAATAATGCATTGCTTGTAAAGGCCCTTTGTCAAAAGTGTTTTTAGAGGGGAAATACAGAGATGCCACAACATAAGTAAATGAGGTTCTGATTATTCTGTTTACTATAGTTTTCAGTTTCCTCACCTGATTTGGGTGAAACCAAATTTTTGATTTGCGGATTTAAGTGCATTGGACGTTTTTGTACAGGGCATGTTACTGGGGACTGGATGCTCCCTAAAACACCCAAAGCAGGTATTTAGGTATCTTAGAACACAGAATTTGGAAAACTTTCTTCGCTGAGCCAGAAAATTAAGATTTTTATGTCTTAGAATTTAGTGATAATAATAATCGAAGACTGTAATACTGACAGTGAGGTTATCCTTACTATTAGAATGTCCAATTCAAACAAAATAGAAGTTAACAACTTACCAAATTAAAATAGAATCCACAGCGTACCTACTCATTATGTTTTAATGGCATGTAAAAAGCACATGGATGACCAGTTGATTCTGAGAAAATCTTTATGTACAGTTGTCATGAGTAATTACTTACCTTAGCTCTCTTTTCTTTTGAGGAGCTGCAAATTTAAATCCAAGTGTATAATTTCTTAGGGATTCTATGCCCAGAGAGCTGAATCTGATCATTTGTATGAGAAAATCCAGTCCAGCATAAAAGAAAACTTTCCCATTTAAGTACAGTTTAAGATTATGTGTAGAGAACAATATATATAAAAGTCGCTCTCTTGTCCTAACATCAAAATCCTGGAGGTTCTTTCTGTCCTCATTAGAGTCTGTCTGATTCTTGCTATTAACCTCAGCAGGAATGGACTTGATTTTAATACTACTTCAGGGGCCTCCTCCAGATTCAGTCACAAATCTACTTTTATATGTAAATCACATGAATCATTGATTTATTTAAAAATGAGGGAAGATGTCTGTGATTTTTCTAGGTGGAGAATCAAGGACTAAATGATTGTCAGTTCTCAGAGTTAAAAAAATGAAAAGAAAAACGAAACCCTCCAGAACAGCCAAAGTATCCAGTTGCTCATCATTCTGCATACTGGCACTCTTGATGATGTTTGCTCTTTTTCTTTCCTGTTCACAATGTTCTTAATAATTCAGTACTTTTTTCTTTAACTTTATTATTAAAGGCAATGGACTGATGATTCATTCTGCTTTCTTTGCTCTTTCAGTGATGTCCATTAATGAAGACTTACTTTTCAGCATCATTGGCTTACTTAACTAAATCATTTATTTAGTTAAGTAGTTCAGTGTACGTTTTTGTTTTTTTTTTGCTCAGTGTAACAGCTAGTTATAGCTCAGATTAGAGTTGCATATTGATTTTATTCTAGAAAATGTGTATGAAATGGACTGAGCTTCAAGTACCAAAAACTGGAAAATGCAGGGCAGAAGAAAGTACAGCAGAACATAGCTGCATAGGTAAGAATTATTCCCCTTTCTGTAGCAATCTTTTCACTTATTCTCCTTTTCATTCGGGAAGTCATTCTCCTGCAAGTAAGGGTACTAGTCTAATATACGAAAGTAAAAATAACCTTTTTCCTACTTAATTTATTGAATTTTAATCTTTCCAAATCAGACAAAACAGAAATGAGTGCCTTTCCAATCCAAGGCCTATACACTAAATCATCACTTGCAGAAGACTTGTAAATTTTCATGGAAAGAATGTGACTAAGCACGTTTTCTTAAGAGAAGATTTTTGAGTTATTTCTTACGCAAATTTTTGCTCACTGCCTTGTTTCTCCTGTCTCCAAGGAAATCTTTGCTGTTTGTGGCTCAAATTCCTTTTTCTTTATTGGATGTTTTGCTTGTTATTTAATTTATACAGAGAAGCTTCAAATGCAGAAATACTGAAAAATTCTTCATATTAAATTGATTTCTTCCACTCTTAGCTACACCTGCAGAATGTGACTCCAGGAGAAACAACAGAAGTGCTTTCTCTGGATAGCAGGAATGTTCATTCACAGACATTGTGTGCCACTGGATGTCACCAGCGTTTCAACACTTGAGAAGTAATAACTAATTTTATTTTAAAGCTTATTTTGATCAGGGAAAGATTTGCTTTCTCCCTGTTTCAAAAAGTAACTGAAGTACAGGGGAAGTCTAAAAGTCATATTTTCCTTTGTACTATTCCATTTCTGTGTGGAAGATGATTTCTATCAGATTGAAAGGCATTTACCTCACTCTTGGGAGTAAATAATGGAACAAGATTGGTTTTTAAATGATTGATCCATAGTAAAAATAGAATTTTTTGTGTCAACAAACTGAGAAACATTACCCAAATCTTTAGATCTTTAGAGCCCATAAGACACTCTTTAAAAAATAAATTGGTAACACTAGGTTTTCAGTATAGCCTATTTTTGCTCCTAAATTCCAGCATTGCAGAGCAGATCTGTTCCTCATTACTACTGGTGTCAATTGTACAGTAGTTGTAACAAATAATTTCCCATTTCACTCCACAGCAAATCATATACATATTATTCAAAGCCTTTGTAGTCCATGTTTTCAAAACCTGAAATCTCCATCTCATCTCATCTTGAAAGATAAACAAGTAAGATGGAAAGAATTTTGATAATGGTTGTCTGAGGGTTTAAATTGGCTTTTATTAAATATTTGTTCAACTTAAATGTCCACTGAATAATTGGAAAAAGATTGTCATCATTAAAATATCAATGCTGTAACTTTTGAATTAGTGAAACCTCTCTGCATAAGATTCTAGACACTACTTAGGGCACAATGCTTCCCAGCCAGCTCTCCCACAGCTCAACAACTTTCTTCTACACAAACCTTAAATTAAAATGAAAGATGAGATGCTACTCTCCTCATCTTGACTCTTAAGATGTTTCACCATAAAAAACTGATTAATGTGGAAAAAGTAACAAAGGTAGAGGTAGGAAAAAACTGTAGACATTTATCAGTACCCTGAGTGCTGCCCCGTGGGATTTGGCTGCAAGGGATTTGGCTGTCTATGCTTTAGTTAGCACAGAATACAGTGCAGCTGCACAAGCTGGATTCAAGCTACTGAGAGCGGAGTAGTGTGAGAAATAGCTGGAAGAAGGGGAGTGGTTTCCTCCTTGTCAGAAGCTGTGTTCAAACCAGTGTCCTTGCTCTTGGATCAGTATCCCTGACAAGGATCCCATGCCTGACAATGTATCATTTATTCAAATTTGTCGCAACCCACTGACTTGACTTGGACAAGTCCAGCTAGGATTTGGACCTGTCTCAACACCACAGATTTGTCTGTCAATCCCTGAACTGACAGCTGGCCCTCATAACACTCACCAGACATGCTCTGCTCTTCTTTGGGTACTGTGGGACTGCCCCTTTGTCAGTGCTGTTGAGGTTAAACATTTACCTTGGGCCACCTTTGGCTCTTGCTACCCAACCTGACAGAGGATTCTAATTCTACTGCTTCCCAAAAACTTGTTTCTGTGTTAAGAAATCTAGGCTTAATACACATACAAATGAGAGAAAAAATAGAAGACAAACAGAAAAGGATAAAAGTCTTTTGTGAGTCACCTTAGGCACTTCTTTTTGATGGAAAACAACTGGAATATTTATTGTCAGGCTAAAACCCATGAAAATACAGTTCAAAATGGGAACATTGACCCTTACCTATTGAAATGCTAGTGAATGCCACCCCAGTCAAAGTATCTGTAAGCTGCTTGCAATTAAAAAATTAAAAAAAAAAAACAAACTGCAAAACACATAAACAAAAAACCAACATCCTCATAGTTTCAACCCTCTAAGTGCCAGTCCTCTGAACTGGTTAACATTATCAAGGGAACACTTGCCTGACAGAAAGTAATTTAGGATCCATTAAATATGATTACTTGGCCTTGAAAATGATGGATATTGAACAGAATTATAAGATCACTTTATAAAAGAAAGGCTTCTTTTACATCTCTTCTTGTGGGGCATTAAATAAAGTCTGAGAAAACTCCTAAGGGATTCCTGGCATTTATAGGTTACATTTATGAAAAGGAGGATTGATATTCATATTAAAAACTCTAAAAATTGAATAGGCAGATGTGGCAAGCTTGTGGACAGCTGTGACATGTCTAAAAAGTGAGTGACGTTCACCAACTGTTTTCCTTGCTTCAATTGTATTAGAGATATGAAAAGTGCCTTTAATTTCAAACTAATCTTTCATGTTCCCTACTGGAATATTAATCCCAAGTGATTTCCTAAGTTCTCTGTATTTCTCACTGTATCATCATCAGTAACTGAAGCAAGAGGTTTTCAAAATCTCAGGTTGCTGTTTTCATCATACTATCCATATTTGAAGGTGAACTTGTCTAAAGATATGATGTGCTTAAGCCACTTTAACTGAAATCTAAGCATGAGACAACTATATTTTAGGCAGAGGGAAAGTTTAGCTTTTTCTTTTCTAAAGGATCTATCCTGAAGCTCAAACATACAGTGCAAATCCATCACTTTTCTCCCACTTGTATTTCTGATCAAAATTGATAAACTGAATTCAGACTAACATTTATTTTTATTCATTTTCCTAAGGTGAGTGTGGGCTGGCTAATTTATTCTATGGAGACAGCTACACCTACACACACAGGTACACAAGGATTTAAACTAAAGTTTCACCAGAATAAAAGCACAGATGTGAACTGAGATTTTCCACATTTCCTATCAGTGCCTAAGCTATTTATTTGTTCAGGTTATGGTGGGGGTTTACTTTGACAGGAGATAGCTCACAAAAACACAATTTTAGTGAACCAGAATTTCCTGCTAAAAAGCTGATTTCCTTAAGCAGCCCATGACTTCTTCCCCTAATGTGACTGACCTTTTCATTAGTTTTGATAACTTCCTAACATATAAGAAAATGAAGAATAAGGGCCTTATATTATGAACTTAGTTATCATCATAATTTTATAGCATGCAAATTAATGCAATATGAATTACATAAGCTCTTCATATTTTAAAGGAATCTATGATTCTATGCCTGGGAATAGTTAGTAACAGGTAATGTTTCTTTTTACCTGATTATTCTTTTCATCAAGTAAGTAGATTTTCTTGGAGATAATAATATCTGAAAAGTTCTGGCCGCTAAGTGTGAAAGACAGGTAGAAGAAAAAGAGAATTAGTCATAAAGGAAGGAATACTAAGGAACCCTTGATTTGTCTATGTTTCAAAATTTATTAACCTTGTTGCAATGTATGGAAATACATAATTCTAATTATGCATAATTCAGCTATTCCTTAGACTAGTTTTCCTAGACTAGTATTCCTTAGACTTATCTTGGGTAGCAAGACTATGGCAGAAGTGCTTTTTTTGTTGTGAAATAATCCCTGGCAAACAAGAGCTTATAATGGAAGAGCTGACACAACTCTCATGCTTCAAGTGCAAAGGGTGTGACTGAATTTAGAAACAACTGAATCTCATCCATTAACTCTCTTGTCACATGCTGGTAGTACTACAGGAAAGTAGTTAACAACGCATGCAAGTAAAGTAAACCAGGATTAACTGATGCTGTTTGCTGTATGTATTTCATAAATATTAAGATTAAAATATGAAGATGCCAGTGTTTATAAATGTTGCCAACTATGATGCTGAAGTAGGCAGGCAAGCTATGTGGCAGTACACATTTTCTCTCACGTCTCTCAGTTCTTGCAATGAGCCTGTTGAAAAACCGCAACAACCATAATCATCTCATCTCATCTCATCTCATCTTTTTTTTTTTTAACTTTCTTAAACAGTGTCATTTTCAAAATGCTTGTAGATGACATAAAGAACATTTTAAAGACCTGTTGTTCTTTACTGTGATTAATATAAATGCTGAAAAAGTTTCTGAAGTTGTAGTGTGATTGTAAAGCAAAGATGCTAAAAACATAAATGAAGACACAGCTCAGCACACATTGAGCAGAACTGAGAGAAACCCTATAGTCTTCTCAGAAAGCAACATAGGGACTGCAGGACCGCAGTGAACAGCAGTAAATCTGTTGTAAATTGGCCAACGTCTCTGACTATCACTGATTAGTAGGTAGCTATGGTGGTATGTTCTAAGTTAATCATTCATTTCTCTCAAAAATTAGATATTTTCTGCTACTGTGTGTGTGCTTTGTCTCTAACTCTTAAACCAGAAACATTTCTTTGTGGTTATTAGGTTCTCAAAAAGTACTAAGAAAAGTAACGGGATAAAATGAACTATTTTCCTGTCAGTCTTCTTTTGGATTGATGCTTTGGTTTCTAATCTTTCTATACATTGCACTGGTCTCTTGCCAGATGACTTGCAGTTGTTTGGATTGTCTGCTCTGTGTGTTCATTATCTGTACCTGTACAGTTAATAAACTCTGATTAGTTCTCTGAAATTATTGATTTGTTACTAAAGAAAAGAGAATGGTTTTATAATAAATGCCACATGAAGATTTGGACTTCATCAGTGGACCAGAAAATTATTTTGTGATTTTGCAGGACCAAAGCCTGACCTTTTCTGATAACATGGTTTCACCTTTTGACTTACAGAGACAAGACTTTCAATGAAGTTACCAAACAGACCCCAGGAAGGTGCTTATAATATTTTTAGCTTTCTTAGTAAGTGATTAAGCTAAGTCTGAATCAAAAATTTAGATATTATACACAGCACATGCAACTTTATATCTTAATTTTTCACTTCTAGATCATCAAGAGATTCCTTTTAAATGGAAACAAACATACCTACAGGAAGGAAGTGAAGAGAAAGGAAACATTCTATGGAGTATGTCAATCTGTAGATTAATTAATACATTGATTCCATTTGAGAGTCTGTATGTACCTGTCTTCCCACTGAGATATCTACTATGCAATCAGTGGTAATTTGAAAATCAATTGCTCTTTTGTAGTACTTAAATTTGTCCATCTAAACAGATATAATTGATAGAGCCTACAATTCATTTCAAGGCAGTGATGCTTAAGGAATCCTAGAGATAAGGGATGTAAGCTAGCAAACTGGGAGGTTTTACCCAACAAATGACAGTCAAAATTAACAGTTTTGTATTGGTTTTAAATATAAAATAGTAGATATGAAATCTGAATTGAAATATACTGCTAAAGTAAAATATATTTTTAGACAAGGCAAAAAAAAGCTGATAGAAGTGACTGTATTTAGACAAAATTATATCTTATAGAATTACATTTACATGTTACAGAACTAAATTGTTGTTTTTTCATCATATTCTTTTAAATTTCATCATATTCTTTTAAAACTGATATTTTGAATATGTTGATCTAGCTGCTTACAAGTCTGGATGAATAAAGTTTACTTTTCTTGAAAATGTTATTAAAATTTGCCTTTTTTAGTGTACAAAGAAATTTTGGAGCTTTTGCCATACACGCTGCTTAATCAAATACAATATGATATTTGCACGTGTTGAATACATATTTCCAGATTCATTAAACAACTATTTCCCCTCAAGGCAATTCATTGTTATGCACTAGAGGACTCTAAGATGGACTATTTGGTTGAGGGGATAGAGGGAGGGCAGGGGAAGGAAAAAAAAAAAAGCAGAAAATAGGAAAAGAGAGGAAGGAAGAAAGCTAAGACTAGCACAAAATGTGTAGTCACAGTTTTTAAAGTCTTTGCAATTTATTTCAGCCCTGAGGTGGCATTAATTGACACATTAGCAAGTTATTTACCGTGTTATGTGCCTATTTAATCTAAAATTCAATGAAAATAACACCAGGGAAATAACTGTAACACATTGCATATACAGCACATGTTTAAAGTATGGAACACCTCTAAAAAGCAGACAAAATATTAATGGTAATGTGTCACAGTTAACTCACAGACTGTCCCTGCAACTCACATAATTGAATTACCAACTGTCAGTTAGCAGAGGCACCTTTACAATACTTTAAGGTAAAATCTTATAATTCCTAAAACTTAAAAAGAATTGAAAATTATTTTCATATCAATATACTGTAGTGTACACCAACAGAGGAAGCAATCAATCATTTTTTACTAACAGTAATTAAATCCGAGATGCTAATTCCTTTCCTAAACATTGTACATTCTATAAGAAATGAAGAAATATGGATTTATGGTAAGATAAAAGGTTTACATAGCTTATTTTGTTGTTGCAACTAAGGGGTAGCTTTCATTCAGTAAGGAAGAGATAATTCAGCATCCAAGATCTCAAATTCAGTTCTAGATAGCAAAACTATAGCATTGTCCAGTTTTACCAGTTTAGAAAGGTTTTTGTTTGTTTGTTTGTTTGTTTGTTTAATATTTTCCTTGGAAAAATAAACGAGTAATAGAAAAATCTTTCATGTGACACTACAGCTATCACCAGAGTCAGATTTATTTAAATTCTCAAATGCCAAATTAGATAGTAATCACATAGACTACTTCAGTATGTCCCTGCTTTATTTATTTATCAAACACTGGAGCCTGCAAAAGTACCTTATGCTTAAGCCTGTAAATGCTGTCATCTTCTTTTTCATTACTATATATAGAATCCATGAGTAGCCAACTAGTATTATTATTATACATTTTTTAGCAACAAGACATCTGTTTTCAGCAACAAGGAGGTAGAGGTGATTAGGCATGTCTTCTACCCAAAGAGGGAATAATAATCAAATTCTATGTTTTAATATCATTTACTCAAATGGCAGTATACTGCGGTGGTTTGTACTATTTAAGTTGTATGCTCCAAGGTCAGAATGGTGTTATTTTTATTGACAAATATTTATGTATATACATAGGTTTTGTATACAGCCCAATTCTGAGACTGGGAAAAGAAATACGTGGCTGCTGTTCACAAAAAAATCAGTGCTAGGGGCCATGACCTTCTATGGATGCAAGCTTGTCTGGTATGTGCTTTTGTTGACCATGCCTTTACCACACTGGAGAAGGGGGAAGTCCTCTGGTTGTTAAACTTGAGAAGAGTAAATATTACTAGGACTGAAATGTCACAGCACGTAAGATAAATGGTCTGTCTCTACTAGATTACATTTCCAACACCTTGTGTTCTTTTATCTACAGTTTGGCTAAAGAAACTGAAAATCACATGTGAAGTCACTGGTCCAGATGGAAAGACTCTTCACAATGCCATTAGTCTGAGTGGATTTTTATTTTTTATTTTTATTTTTATTTTTATTTTTTGTTCTGAAACATGAATCTTTATGTCATTTCCAATCTGCCTCATTTACTTAATTTTTTTATTTATTTATCTGCTGGATATTGCTGCTTTCTAGATAAATATCCAGTTATTTCTTGAATCCTGCTCAGTATTGTATCACAGCAAGAAAACACCAAAGACAAATGCTCACCGTGTGTAACCTTTTGTCACACCATATCAGAACCATTCTGGTTGCCCTTTTATCATTATTCTATTATTTTAAAACTCTGCCATAGCCCAGGACCCTCTTATACTATGCACTGTACAAAAACGTCCATTCTCTCTTTTGCAAAGAGATGTTGTGCAGTCACCCTTGGCGCTACATCTGTGGGAACAACATAAGTGGAAATGTGGCCCCCACCCATATTTGCTACGAAGGTAAATATGTGTCTGTAATTTGGAATGTCTGTCCCAAAGAGGTTACATACAGTTTAGGCAGAAGGATGGAGAAAGCAGGCAGATAAAGGGAAGTAGAGCAGAACAGTGCCCATCAGCATTATAATCAGCAGTCTGAGCACACCACCAGCCTCATCCATATCCTTGCATTCTATTAATTATTAACAGACTTTTGTGGCAAATCTCTTATTCTCTGCTACACCATCTGCATGTTCCTTTCTGAAATAAAGAGTTTTTGCCTTTTTCTGGCAATTTTTGGCCTTTGCCTGGAAGACCTGAGGACAGCCACAGCCAGGCAGCAGCTGATGGCCCTGCCATTGTCCCTGGCATTTCCAGGCACCTTCTTCTGCCCATGAGCTACTCTATTTCCATGGCCCCTCTCTTGCAGAAGAGAGGCTCTGAAAAAAAAAAATTATTACTGGTGTGTGCACAAGCTATTGGAGATCTTTTTAGACAGTGTTACCTCCCAACCTCCTGGGCTACGAGCTTTGGCATGTTTGTCCATTTGGTTGTGTGACAGTGTAATTCCAGAGAATCATAGAATGGCTTCAGTCAGAAAGGGAACTTGGAGGTTTAGTTCCAACCCATCAGAGGTGTCACATCAGCGAAGGTTTCAGACGCAGGATGAGGGTACCCTCGCGAACTGAGGTACCCACGTTTCGGTCAGGCCAGCCGCTCCCCGGTGTCCGCAGCAGGCGGCGAGACCGCATCGAGCATGGGAACTTAAAGCTCCTGCCCACGTTTCCGGGCTTCCCAGCGTCCGAACGCCATCCGGGCGGAAGCGTTTACGCAACGGCAGCCACGAGTGGGCTGGAGGTGATGTACTTGTGGTGGATGTTTCTGTAAGGTTTTTCCGGCTTTTCCCCAACTGCCCTCGCCCGCTACGGGCAGCACGGCGCGATGCGGCGCGGCGCAGCCCCCGGGCACTGCCGGTGCTGGGCTCGGGCGATGCCCGCTCTGGTGGCCGCGGGTAGCGCTGAGCCGGGCCGCCGCGGCCCTGCAGGGACCCCGCTTGCCGATGTGGAAAAGCTGCCGGCGGTTGTGTGCCGATCTGCCGTCTGTTGGAGCCGCTTCGTTAGTTGCTTTAATTGTTTTTAAGAGGGTTTTGTTTAAAGGAAGGGGCGAAATTGTAGCAACGTTTGGGGTAGGTCAGTTTCAGGTCACCAGTCTCTTCAGCAAAACTTTATTGTGTGGTTAAACTAGTGCTGCTACTCCTCATCTACGTGCTTTTGTTTCAGATAATGCTTTAAAAAATAGATGGAAAACAGGCAGATGAGATGCACTAGCTTCGAGTAGCTTGATGCTGATTTCTCTGTTAAAGATCACGTTTCTGGTAAGCTTTTCCCTCAGTGCAGCATACCAACCTTGTCCCCTGAGGAAGGACAGGTGAGGAAAATAGGTGGAATGTGTTTGTTAAAGTAGGCAGAGTTGTGCTTCTTTTTGATCCTGTGTTTCATAGATAAGCAGCTAGATTTTCAATTGTCTGTTTTGCAGGTAACGATACAAGGAACACTTTATCTTGCTTAATGTGTTTATTGGCATTACTCTTTTTGCACCTATCTGGAGAAGTATATATATTTGTGTTTCTTGAGGCCTGAGGATAAACTAACAAGGCATAATAATCTGTTAGCGGCAAATTTGGAAACACTGAATTTTCAGCTCTTTAAGTTTTGAGAGCTGAATTAGTGAGTCATAGGAAAACAGGCTAGAACATTAATTTTGTGTTTATTCCCATGCATCAAACCAGAGTGAGGGAATCTGAGATGCCTTTGTGCAGATTCTTCTTGAAGACGTTACTGGTGTGTTGGGAGACTGTTCTACCTCCAACAACTTAGTTATTGAGAAAGACTGTATAACTGTAAGGAAAATGTACTTGAATCCTCTCCTGTAATTTGAATCCATTTGTAGCCACAGCTTTATGTGGCTTGAGGAACAATTTTTCTTTTCAGCAGACATTTTTTTTAGCATGTTTGTCTTGCTTTTTTTTTTTAATCGGGTCTGCTCTCCTTTAAAACATACGTTCCCAATTATTTTAATATTTTTCAATATATTATGCATATAAGCTCTGATCTTTATTGATCCTCTCATCTAGTCTCATTCTATCAAGTTCATATACTTGATTAAATTTGAAGGGCATTGTTCAAAACAGGATAGGGTATTCCAGTTGTTGAATTCTAAGCAGTAGCATGGGAGATTCATGTGCCTTTCAAGTTCTGTTTCTGCTTATATATCCTGGCATAACAGTATGGTGTTGGCATATTCAGCGTCTGTTCTAACTGCCCCCACGTCTCATCTGTGTAACTGTTGCCTAGGAAGGTGTTCATTTTCCAGAAAATCTTGTCTTTCTTCTTATTGAAGTGTGAGTCCAGTTTTTTGGTTTTTTTTTTTCCCTTTAGACCTTCTCTGATTATCAGCTTGCTGTCATCTGAAAAATAATAATATGTATTTAAATAATATTTAGATGTAGGAGAGTACTCTGTGGACCTTCAATGGCTTGCATCTTTATTTTATTTTTCTGCATGACCTTGCAGCCAAGATGAAAAGTAGTGTCAATTTAATATTAACTGGGCCTAGTCTACAAATGAAATCTGTAAACTAAATTTGTATTGCATAGGGAAGTACTTCTAATTAGGACAAGCCTGTGTATTTCCAGGGCTTGCAGAAAAGAATATTCCAAACTAGTCTTTTGTTCTTTGATCTTTAGCAGCAGTGTGTTTATTCTTTAGATTTGGAAGGCACAGTTCATGATGAAATTGATATGGAGAAATCTATCCTAAGTAAATACAACTTGAAAATGTATTTTGGCCACAAAAAGCTGCTCTTATAATTTTTCTCCTTCTGCACTGCCTCATTTGTGCCTAAAGTTTTTCAGTGGCAAATGACCAGCTCTACTCTGCTTTTGACACCTTTTACTACAGAACACTTTCCTCATTCATCAGATAGAATCTTTAATACATTTATAAGCTAAATACAAAATCCCTTGTGTAATATGCCACAGCTGTCTTTCGCTTTGACTTTTTTCTTTGCATGTCACTGTACTGTTTGAGTCCTTTCCTCATGTGTAAATTAGATCTGTATGACAGCATGTTAGCTAAAATTTGTCAGTCTTTACAGTTCTTTCTCAGGAGGCTTTCCTTCAATTCTAATGGAGGCTGCCTTGAACCATAGCTGTACAGGAAGTTCCAGCACACTGAGAAGCATGCTACTGTTCTCAGCCTACCTGTCTCTGCATTCACTGAAGCACAAACTAGAAAGCATTTGGTGTCAGACATTTACTCTAAACTCTTTGCATTCATCTGATGTGACAAGTAGGAGGAAAAGGGAGTCTCCTAAGAGCATTGTTTTGCATCTTCAAAAGGCTGAAACTGAGTAGCTGTTAAAATTATACAGGAAGCAAATAGGAAAGGAAAAGTTGACTTTTTCATTTGCTCCATAGTGTTAAGTCTTATCTTGAACAACCAAGATTAGATAACTCCTTGGTACAATAACACCTGCATCTAAGGCACACATGCAAACATTATTTCATTAAGTATGATGCGTATGAGAGATGGAAAGATCTTACAAGATGAACAGGTTTCTTTCTGTTGAACATAAGAAAAACCTTGGTTTATCAAGTATTTTATTGTGCATATGTTTAAAATCTCATCTTAATTTGCTTTACATTGCAGAAGGCTTTTATTCTTTGGAACTACTTTAAATGAACTTTTCAGGTATTTCTGAATTCTTAAAAATGAAGGACATTGTCTCCGTGGGAGGAGGCAGAGCTTTAGAAACGCTGAAACTTGTAAAAGCTTTAGAAACATTGAATAAATTAGTTCTGGTGGCATGTAAGAAAGAATAAGCAACTTGTGAGTAGTATCATTTATAGTGTCAAAATACCACGAATTATAGTTGGTGAAAATGTATACCATAAAGTCGTTACACGCCTTCTTAAGCTGTTGTTTTGAAGTTTGTTCCTTACATCCTTTTCCCATTTATGTAAGGGGATATAGATAATTCTGCAGAAGTATGCTGTTATTCTTACTTTTGTGGTCTGGAGTACTTCTACTGTCTCAGATGCTGCAATTTAAGAGTTAATTGAAGAGGTAGTCCAGTGATGACTAAAAACACCTATCAGTTCTTTTTTTTTTTTTTTAAAGTGAACCTAAAAGAAACACTTTTTTTTTTTTTTTTTTTTTTGGAGGGGAGGACTTTTCTATTACAAAAAAAAAATAAATAATAATAATACACAGAGTAGTATCAGGAAACAACTTTTAATTGTTTTCCATGTTCACTGAATGAAGGACAAAGGAACTAACTTCGTAGTAAAGAGAGGTTCAGCTGAGCACAAGGAGAGCTTGGTGAGAAGTGGAAGTGCTTTAAATCTCTTTGGAAGTTGTCTCTGATATGAATGGAGGGCTTGGGCTAAATAGTTGCTTGAGATGTTCCTATGAATATTTTATTAAAAATACCAATAATTGAGAGCATGAGAAGTTTCTTATTTTCAAGTCATTGTGCTTCAGCAGAGACGCAGCATATTGCTGAAGTGTGCTCTGATTTGAAAATTCCAGGAGAATAAAACAGACTGGTTCATGACTTCAATTTATTCTAAATCATTCACTACAATGATTTAAGATAATATTTATGTTTACAATAACATAAGAGCATATGCATGGTTAAGTATCACAACTCAGACGTGCTAGCTTGGTTGTGGTGTAGCAAACAGTCTGTGTTCCATCCTTGTTCTGATGGTAGTTAACAGTTACATTCTGCTGTGCTTTGTGGCTGGCTCGTGTGTGTGCCATTCTGAGCAAAATGATTACTGTTTGTTCTGTATGCAGTTGAGAAAACATACAAATGTAAATTGTAACTCTGTGCTTTGTTTCAATGTATTGTTTATTTTCACTTCCTGCAAACATTGCATTCCCTTAATTTTGATGTTCTAATGCCAAGAATCCCTAGCTCTTATCTCTTTTTATCATTATGAATTCCATATGTGGGATTTAGAATTCCTGTTCTAGGGAAGAAATTTATTGTGATAAGTTTTGTTGATTTTTTTTTTTTTTTTTTTGAAAGTATATTCTTTATTTGTAAATAATCTAAATAGTATAATGTAGCTGAACTACACAATTTAAAAGTAACAGGCAAGATTAAATAATATCTGTTTTAAAGCATTGGTTACTTAAACTTGCTTCTTCTGAAAAGTAGAAAAGATTTCAATATTATGTAAAATAACAAGCGAATACTCTGTAATCAGGAAAGCATTTTAAACTAAACTAAATCACAAATATTGTTATCTGGATGTTTTTGATCTCCTATTGGGGGGGAGGAGGAGGAGGAAGAAAAGGGAAGAGGGCAAACAATCTTGTATTAGTATAGGCTATAATACTGTTCTTTTTCTCTTACTTTAGGGTCCTGTGGTATCTCTGTTAAGAAAACTTACACCTTGTACAGCCTGCTGCTTTAGTGCACAATTGATGATTTCACTTGAAATACTCACCTGAAGAAATTAACAGTAGGCAAGGTATAACTGCTTTTTAACAATGTTAAGAATTCAGCATTGTGTAACAGCTAACAGGATACCCAAGAAAAAGCCGTATATATGTGACATTTGCTATAAGCAGTTTGAAACTCCATCAAAATTGGCAAGACATTATCTGATACATACTGGTCAAAAGCCATTTGAATGTCATGTGTGCTATAAAACGTTTAGGCAGTTGGTCCATCTGGAGAGGCATCAGTTGACCCATAATTTGCCTTTTGAGTGTAATTTTTGTCATAGAAACTTCAAAAATGTAATTACTTTGTTGAAGCATCAGCAGCTTCATAATGAAAACTATCAGAATTGTATAAAGCAAGAAGAAAAATCTGTGAGTTCTGAGCAGGATGGGGTCACTTGTGGCATATTTCGATGTTCTGTGTGCTGGAAGTCTTTTACAACTGAAGAGAAGTGGATGCTGCATCAGTGTCAGAAGGCAGATTGTCTACATGGTACAAGAAGGAGAAAGAAAACTCACCCTTGTGAATTGTGTAACAAGACATTTCCATCGAGATCTAAGCTAGAACGACACTTCCTTATTCACACTGGCCAGAAACCTTTTAAGTGTTCTTCGTGTGGCAAATCTTTCAGACAGTCAACACATTTGAAAATCCATCAGCTCATGCATACTGAAGAAAGGCCTTTTCAGTGCTGCTTTTGTCAGAAGGGATTTAAAATACGGAGCAAACTCGTGAAGCACAAACAACTCCATGCCAGAAATAAGGCTGTCTCCAATATCATATACAAAGGAAAAACTAAACATCTCAGACTACAGAAACTGTCAGAAGGAAAGATGGATAGTTTTGAGAATGCTGACACATTCAAATTGCAGGAGAATGACCCACATGATGTTTATTTGATTTATGTCGTACCATTTCAGTGTCCAGTGTGTGAGCAGTGTTTTGACACAGAGGAAGTCCTAAATTTGCATAAATGTTATCTAAGAGGTGAGAAAAGCTCAAGTTGCACAACAGCATGCAGTTGCACAGTCAGCATGAAAAGCAAGATCCAGATGAAGCTGAAGCACACTGGAGGAAAGCTATCAGATTTTTCTTTGACTGGCAGAGAAAAAATGAAATCAGGTCACTTTAGGAGTCCTGACCTGGTTGCAGTGAGAGAGCAGCAATCTGATAAAAATGTTTCCACTAAATCTTTCAAGAACTGCTGTAGCAAGCTTGACCTGTGCAAGGCTGTCAATTGGATGAAAAGAAGGTTTGCTGTGCCATTACACTGGCAAGAGCATCTAGAACCTCTAAAGGTAGGAATTAATTTAGAAGGTGTGCTTACTGGTGAAAGCATGTTAAGCATCAGTAATGGAGTGTGTAATAGGGATGATGCTTTTTATGGTTCATCAGGTGATAGCTTCCTTGATAATTCAGAAATATTTCACTATGCTTTTTCAGCTCCTAAAAATATACATAACAGACACAAAGTGTGTAAATGTGACAGATGTGAAAAAATATTTCCATCTTCATCCAAGCTTCAAAGACATTACCTTATACACACAGGACAGAAGCCCTTTGGCTGTAGTGTTTGTGGGAAGACATTTAGACAGTCAGCTCACTTAAAAAGACATCAGCTCACCCATACTGAAAATAACTATAAAAGCCCTGTTTGCCATGTAGAATTTGAAAATCTGCGCAAATTCTTCAGTCATCGGGAAGATCACATTGAATTTGAGTCTTCTCAGCCTGAGAGTTATTCAGATTATTCTCAAGCACCTTCAGAGGCACCTGGCTTTCAAGAATTTGAGCTGACTCAGTCAAATCAAGCAGCTGAAATCAAAGTTGAAATTGAGTCAGAGGCCTTTGTTCCTGACACTGGCAGTAGAAACACAGAGCCTTATTTGTGTAGTAAATTGATGGAAACGGAGCAAAGCTGTTGTAGTTACTGGCCTGATTTTTCTGAAAGTGTTGAAAGAAGAAAACTATACCAGTGCAGTCTCTGTTTTAAGACATTTAAATCATTTTCTAAGCTTGAAAGACATTACTTCATGCATGCTGGACAGAAGCCATTTGAATGTTCAATTTGTGGTAAAAGTTTCCGACAGTCTCCACATTTGAAAAGACATCACCTTACTCACTTTAAGGAGAGGTTAAAGTTGAGTTCCAGTCAGCAACAGTCAGAAACATTGTTTTCTCTCAACCTGGATACTGTCCCCTGAAGTTATACATTAATATTTTTGATTACATGATTATTAAAAGGATTATGTTAAACTGAACAACCAACTGAACAGGATTATCTTTTTACGTTGTGAAGATGACCTAATGACTTTATTTGCTCTTTTCAGAACTGCCCGCTTGATTGTAATATCTGGTAACCGCGAGAAGATGGTAAAAACAAAACAAAGCAATAAGAAAGCTACTTCACATTTGTTTTCTTCACAAATGTATTTTTAAATACACATTTTTACTGTATTGATGGTGTCATGGCAATCCGCAGTGTTCTGTAGCTGTTCAGTGAGAATGATCAAAAAGTAAAGGCAACTTGTGGAATACAGGAAAAACGGTCCTGCTGCTTTCTTCTGGCTCTCTGTACATTGCAAGCATTAAAATGTGCACATTTGCTGTATTTAGTCCATGTTTTATTCAAGAAAGAGTAATAGTTAATTTTGGATGAACAAGATGCAGGAAAAAAAGAACAAGCTGAAAAAGTGGAAAATAATATTTAATGAGGAAAAACTGTTGACTAGAATTATAAAACAGTTAATAGAGGAAAAATAACCTAACTCCATATTTGTAATGTGCTTGGAGATCTATGGGTGAGAAATTACATCCTTTCCTTATTAGTGGTAAAATGAATAGGTAGTGCTAAAGTAGCAGGGTTTTTAATCAATCCCTTTTAACACTTCATTATTTGCACTTCTTGCAGAATCCCTTTTTTGTATATTTTTTTTTTCATGCAATAGTGAATTATTTTTCTGCAAGCAAAGAAAGCAAAAAAATTATCAAGGATAATACATGTGCAGTTATTTATTCCTTCTGTTGTGCATATTGCACCATTATAAAAAAATGTTCTCCTAGGTGTTATGAACCAGGCAAGTAGTTTTGTTGGGAAGTCATGTTCTTGTTACATTAAATTTAAGAGACTAAAAATAATTTTTCGCTCAAATTAATTTTGGTTTTGTGAACAAAATCTGTGATTATACTTCTGGTAAGTAGAGAGCTTCATCTGTTGTTCATGTGGGTCTGACAAAAAATGTAAGTGCAGCGGAGCTGTAAGCTGTAATCATCAAGGAAAAAAAAATGAAGTTTCTCTTTTTTTTTTTTTTTTTTTCCCCTCTGAAGAATCATTGTAGAATCACAGAATGACTTAGGTTGGAAGGGACTTAAAGATCATCCAGTTCCATCACCCTGTCATGGGCAGAGATGCCATCTACCAGCTCAGGCTGCCCAGGTCCCCATCCAACCTGACCTTGAACACCTGAGATGGGGCATCCACAGCTTCTCTGGGCAACATGCTCCAGTGCCTCACCACCTTTCTTGTAAAGAATTTCTTCCTAACATCTAACCTAAACTTTTGGTACATTTTGCTTTGTTATGCAACTTCTGAACATTTTAATCCTGAAGTTTTTAATCCTACATCTAAATTAACGGAATTGTAAGTTCTGTAGGTAAACTTTTTTTTTTTTTTTGTCTTGAAGTTATTTCTCTAGGTCTTGCTGTGGAATAGCCTTTGTAGTACTTGATATAAATGAAGTGAAGGATGAAGAGAGTTCTTACCATATTTTTGAGTGTGTGTATCTCCACTTTCAGAGCAAATGAAACACTATGATTTTTATATGACAGGCTAGTTGAGTGTCTTAAGAACAACTGATTACATACCGAGATTGTTTTTCTTCCCATGTGAGTTGTTTTGTATTGAAAGAGAATACTTCATAAAATATTTTGAAAGTGTATTGTAGAGCTCTTAAAAATATTTGTAATAAACTATTTTATTTATATTGCACTTTTATTGTATACTTTTTGCGCAAACAAAATAATGTTGAAACTATGTAACATTCAGTATGCGGAGAAGTTAGATAACACTTTGCATGTTAGAACAGAGGTTTTCTTTCAGAATTTTTTGCTATATAAATAAAGTTAAGTATTTTAAAAGAGAGAAAGTGGTCTGTTTTTTTTTTTTTTTTAAGATGTCAGTCATTTGAAAAATATATTTTTAAGCATAATATTTGGAGAAAAATAAACCTAGTGTTTTCAAAAATACTGATTTTAGTGAAATGGGGGAAAGATGAATACAGAAAGCTAAATTTGAGGGATAAGTAGAAGAAAGAGTATTAATGTCTGATTAATTGGAAATCTAAGGTAATATGTGGGCTCCATGGGATTTTTAGAAGGGCAGTAATGGTCATTTTGCTTATCCGGCTCTATTATTTTTATCAAAAGTTTAGTGCTGGATAAATTCACAGTTGTAGGGGAATTATAGCTTTAACCTGCTAGACATGAGTTAAAAGGTTTCTGCAAGTCCAGGGAAAAAATCTAAGGTTGAAATTGTCACTAAAATTCTCCAAGTTCTTTTGAGAATTTGAGCTAGAGTAATTTTTCCAAGTGTTAGGAATAATAGTTCATGTCATTTATTATTAGATTAGTCATTTTCCATCATGCTTCCAGGCAAGTTCAAGCCATTGATCTCAAGTATATTTGGTGGCATAAACATTGCCAGTAATTAATTTAGTTGGAACGAGCTGATAGATAGCAGTAATAACCCCATAGAAACATAGTGGGTTTTTTTTGTCTTGTTTGTTTTAAGATTATGCACAAAACTAAAGCATATTGCAAAGAGGAAAATGGAAGGTCCCCCTATGATACTAGCAGACTTCTTTCAGGAGAGCTTATAAAATGCATGAATTTAGCTGTGAGGAAGTTCTGTGTGATGTAGAAGAAGGGACAAATAAACAGAAGAAGGTTAAGGGGATTTTGTTCTAAGGCAAATAAAGTATGCAATACTAAATTCATTGGAACTGCAGTACTACCTGATCACGGTCCATTTTCTGTCTAGGAAAACAGCTATGGTTAACTTTAAAACATTAATGATTTTACGTGGTTGTCATGCTATCCTTGCAATGCTCTTAGAAAGTCACAACTTTATGTACAGGGAAAAAAAAAAATCTAGAAAAAAGAAAACTGTTTTTTTTTTTTTTTCATTTTTCTAGCTACCTCTCACTAAGCAATTCAGTTTTTGCTTGTCTTTGATCTCTCGCTATTATTCCTATAGCCAACAAGAAAAGTTCATGAGGCAAATGGGAAACAGATACAAAAGAAACTTAATTGAAGGTAATAAGACTTTTAGGCTTGTGATTGTGATGTGAATTGTGATGCTGGTTTTAATGCTTAGTTTTTTTGGTTGGTTTCTGACAACAGAACCTCACTTGAATAACGTACAGTTGGATGACTCTTATATCAAATAGGCTATAGATTTGGTTTTTCTAAAGGCCCTGGTAATAATGTTCCAAATGTCTAGGTATCCTAAATAACTAAAGAAGTCATGGTTCATGTTCCTAGCACAAGGTTTTGTGGATTTTTTGAATGCAAGTCTGAACTTAATAGCCCAGCTTTTATGGTCTGATGGCTGAGAGGCAGTTACAAGGAAAATGGAAATTACAGAAGTGACTTCACTCTTATACACCTATGTACGCATACATATGTTCTCCAGATTGAGCATTCTAATTGTGCCTTTACATATAAGTAAAGCATCTTTTTTAGCATCCATTTAAAAAGTGAATCTTCAAAGTCCATTAATGTGTTAATCACCTTTGTATCAACAAAATTACAAGTAGAATCGATCATTTCCTTGTTCAAAAACTGTTGTTCTAACGTGAACATTTTCTGCCACAAACCATCACAAGTTTTTAAATTCTGTTCTACATTTGTACACTATCTGAATTCCTGTCTTCTTCTGGGATCTGCTGATGTATGACTTTATTCTTGTATGTACCTGATAAAATTTGTATGTGCAGCTAAAATTCTTCCTCTTCACTGGAATTCTTTCAGTATAACTGATCCTAATTTTTATGGATCTGTGAAACCTCATAGTGACCTCAGAGTCACAGAGTTGTTTGTCACATATGTGCCTCCATGGTATGCAGAATGGTGCCTTGTGTACATGTCCCAAAAAGCTCCATAATTCTCTGATTGGCTAGCTATGGCGGACTATGAAGAAAATAAATTTTGGGGCTGTACATGAGATGCATGAGTAATGAAGAATATGGTATGCAGAAGGTGATTGAAGCTTTTGCATTGGAAGAGTTTGTAGAGGGAAAGTGTGTCTTGACAAGAATGTTATGTGAAAGCAGTCTGAGGGCCCATGTATGGGTCTGAGGAACTGGTGAGTTTGGGGCCACACACTTGAAGGAGTGGTATGAGAAGCACTGCATGAGCACACAAGATGACCAGCCATGATGTAAACAGTGGAGCGTGTCCTTCACTGCAAGTGGTTTGCGTAATTAGGGTAATTAAGAGCATATGGAAATAGTGGCTACTCAGCTTTGCCTCTTGCTGCTTCACTTGATGTGGCACTAGAATGTGAGGAATGCAGAACGTTATTTGGTCACCAATGTGGAAAAAAAAAAAAAAAGTCTATACCCATGTTGTCTCCCATGAATACTGCTAATGCATTGGACTAATTAAATTTCTAATGAATTCAAGGGAAACACTGCTTTCTTGGTGTGCAAATTTGTGTTATCTGTGCTTTTTTTTTCTTTCTTTAAACAATAGACATTTTAATGCTTTGTATTTGTTTGAAAACATTGTTTGCTGAGCTCCAGAAACTCAGCTGATATCCTCAGTTTTTATTTCATTTTTGAATAGGATCCAGTTTCTGACAATGAAATCCTATTAAACTGAGTAAAAATCTGCTAAGCCTTCTATACACCTCAGGTGTCTGTCAATTTGAGGATAGTTTTTAAGACTGATGTTAGGATTTTTTTTCATGACGTTGAGATCAACTTTGAAGTAGTATCCTGTCAGCTTTGTTTGCCATAGCTAATTCTATATTGTATTTTATCCTGTACGTCTCAATATTAGCAGTCCTTAGGTACTGAAAATAGCATCGTAAGAATTTCCTCAGGCATTTTACAGTGTGTCTGATGCCAGTGCAATTTGCAGAGGAATAATCTGTTTGACAATAAGCTCAATTTTTTTTGTTATGTAAATTGCTGTTTATATTACAGTATTTTCCAGCAAGAGTTATTATTACTTGATTTTTCAGTATTACACCAAAATGGCTTCTGTTTTCAGTATTATGTTTTACTCTCATTTTATCCTTTCTTAAAATCCTGTTGCGTTACTGCAAATGTCTACCAAAAACCTAAAAAATATAAAGGCAAAGATGAAAAGTTCTAGGAATATATCCTACAGAAAACTCAACGACAACTGGAGATAGCTCTCAGCATCTTACAGTGGTTCTCTACTGATTAACTGTTATGTTACATATTAGACAGGCTTCAGTTTTCTCTGCAGTATGTTTTTTCGGTATTGTGAGAAAGGATATGTGATTGAAGGTCTATGTTCCCAATGATTCTCCAAGTAGGATCAACTTTTCATAACATTTTTCATGCTAGTACTAGCAGAAAGGAAACAATTTGCTTTTAGAATCTCATTTCAGTGATAAAGTTCTTGTGTTCTTCCATCAAGCAGATTTATTTCT